AAATAGGATTTGATTTCGGGCTTTAAAATGTAGCATTAATGAACTTTTAAACCGCCCAAAGAATAACATCTTTGAGTATTTAGTTTTGAAGCATTAAACGAAAATATCTTCTGAGTTTAATGACTCACATTAGAGAAGGTCGGAAGGATTAATTTTGCTGTAGATCCTACAAATAAAAAAGCAAATGAACCACCTAAAAATTCGCCGTCATGTCGGTTTTCTTCTTTAGTTAACCAGTTTTACTATTCGTAAAGCTGGCGATTTTAACTTGTTAACTCTGCAAATAATTTTCTAACCACTTGAAAAGAAATGTCTGGATTTCAAGAGGTTATTAAGCCATACTTGCGACCTGGCTGCGTTATCGGTCTGAATGGACGCATGTCATTGGTTAATCAACAGTTAAATGTGATTGGTGCTCAATGAGTCCGAACCGCAGCGCCTTGAGCCCCTTCCTCTAGCACGCACTAAGCTGCATCGGTAGGGAAATTTATTACTGACATAAAAGGAAGACCATAGACACAACCGTCAGTCTTCAGCGAAGCCTAAAAGGCCGCTGTAGGTAAATGCACATTAAGGCATGTAGTAAATCATTGCATGGCCTCTTTCTTTCTTTGAGTGTCTTTCGCGGCTCTCTCTTTGGTCACTTTTTAAATACGACCATAACGAGGCCTTGCGCAAGTTGCAAATAACCCAGAGATGAAACAGAAGATGAATTAATGGATTCACAACATACAGAAAATTTTATCCAAAACTAGCAGGGTATGTTGTAGTTCTGACCGGCATTTCTGAATAGTCTGTTTTATGCCAAGTTGTTGAAGGATGGACGATGTTTTAGGACAGGCATATTCTCTAAATTAGTCACTCTTTTTAGCTAAACTTACCTAAAGGCAACATCAGGAGAAAAGAACAACGTATTCTAGGAGTAGTAAGTCTTTGTCTGCGGTCGTTTGTAATTCGCAAAAACTTGAATTTAAACCAACAACAATTACCGTGCAAAAATTTCAACTTCTAATTTTCTTAAAACGAATGCAATTTGTTGGTTCCCTAAAGTAAGTTACTTCAGCATATAATTTTCTTCTACAGCGTTCAGATTTGAGAACCAGATAAATCTGAATTGTTCTACATCTTGATCGAGCTTACTGATCGGCACAACCCAGGCAGCGTCTTGTTTCTTCCATAAAGTCGTAAAATGCCATATCAGGATGGTTGAAGATTTATTACTAATGCGCAAATTGATCGGGAGGTTGTGGTCATGACCGGAGAGCCTCAACGGCAGGCGAATGTACAAATCACATGTAGCTCAAGGCATCTTCGAAACAGATGCCTCTAAAGCTAGGCAACTCACTCCGTTCCGCCTACCTAATAAGAATGCTTCCAACAATGAAGCACTTCCTAATATCGCCAACATTACTACCTCGTGTGTGTGAGTCGTCGAATCCTCTACTACTGCAGACGCCTACTCCAATGAAGTCGATGAGAGGACGAAAAGGATTTGAAGAGGGTGTGTGTAATTTGCAGTGAAGAGGTGGAAGCGGCCACATCGGCCACCAGACCCGGAGTTAGGTGTGGTCATGAGCATGGAAGTCTTTTAGTCAGGTATTGGTCGGCAAACTGACTCGTGGGGTATTTGTGACAAGTGGATGAAATGGCTTTCGGTGAGATGGGGGTACATGCACGCATTATAAAGAATAGGTTGACACGCATCAGTCCGTCTGTGTGTTCCTCTTTACCACCGTCTCTACCATCCACTGTTAAATCATGGATTATGGGTGAAGTTACCTCAATGTCTGTGAATTGCGTGTTTGACAGATCGCAAATGCAAAGAGGCTTCTCGTGGGATTCTCTGTTTTATGTGATCAGTAGAATGTAGGGCAGCCAAATAAAGTGGCTAGAAGTGAGGTGAGCAATGTGCTTTTGGTGATGTGTTACTGGAAGACAAATTCACCAAATGTGGGAGGTCTTTGTTCTTGACACAGGTGCAAAGTTACCTGTCACGGGTGACAAGGCGATTGGAGATGAGCAAGTGGTATGGAGATGTATCAACAAGGCAAGCCGTGACAGTTAGGCAAAAGGGCCCGACATACCATGGGCTGACAAATAACAGTAAGTGTAGAATAATTTTTTCTTCACTATTTTCTTTCAAGCATGTTTTAAAGGGACGTCATGCATTTTAGGCTTTTTGATAACAACGAGAAGCAGACAAAACTTGTATTTTTTGTCTCCCAAGGCCCCACTCACTCCTCAATCCTCACTTCTGTGACACGGTCCACTTCATCCCTGGAGGACCATGCTTACGAAGTTTGTGTGAGCTGCACGGTAGGCGGGTCGACCAGACATGCATTTTAAGCTGAGGTTTTTATGTAAATGGATGTGAGGCATAGAGTTTTCTTCTGCAAAAACATCTAGATCCAACAAAGAGGTAAATGGAAAAAGTCCTGCTTTCACAAGACAGCAGAGCCAGAAAACTCACTCCCATGTGAAAAAAATTAATACAATACGATAGGTGGGAGACACTATTTTACCTCATCACCCTTATTTGCATTTTCAAACCAACAGATAGAAGGGAAAGGTGTTATAGTTAGTTTCTTACGGTCTTCAAGAGGCTGCGTTTTATAGAGATTAGCTGCAAGTTTAAATCTCGTTGATCATCACGAAGTTCAGACTAACTTATTTAGTTCTTTTATATTACGTCTTTTACAGTCCGCATGATCTCAGCCGCAAATAATCTGGAATGTTCATTACTTTATAGCCGAGGCTCTCCTACGGCTGGAACTACATTTGAGCATCCTTGAGAGGGTTGCCAAAAAACTTGCCAACTTCACTAGGGACTCGTTGACACTCACTACTTGAAATCCACAGAATTCGCCGCATTAGCTACATAAATGGACATTTTCAGGTTGTCACTTCAAAACCTTCTCTCTCTAAACAGGTGAGGCTTCCAGAGTACCAGAAAGTCAAAAGTACATGCAATATCTGTCCGTCCTGTTTTCATAACTGAGGCATCTTTACAGCCAATTGAGTCTTCGAGCCTGAAGATCCTGAGCTTTGAATTTGTCCGCTGCATGGCCTATTAGACCCTCTGTTCGTTGACTATAAACCACCCTCCTAAGTTGGTACAGATATCAGTTGCACCTCCTGCAAGCTGCCTAATTTGTCGACTTTATGAACGGAAGAGAACTTGGTTCCAAAGCTGTGAAATCTTTTCATCAATTTTGCCACTTGGTGTATGGAGAATATGCAGTAGTAATAGGAATTACCAAGCAGAAATGGCTTAACAAACGCGATTACGGTGCTTTTGTCTTCAAATAACAGTTTATCATATTTAATAGGACTCGGTATCCTTAGTCAATGAAGGCTTAACTATAACTGACGCGTTGACTCGACATAGAGTGTTTAGGTCATTGGTGGTGTTTATTACGACTAAGGAAACAATTTACTCATATACCACGGCATCTAGGAGAACAATATGGGCCATGTCATTTATCTTTTCAAGGTTGACGAATACATGGAGAACACCTCTGGCAGAGTGAGAGTGAGAGTCCTCTGTAACCACAGAGTGATTAAATGATTGAGTTCATTAGTCTAGTAGAAAGATTTGCTGTAGGAAATGCTTTGATCAGGCTTGTAGGAATAACCATTTTGCATGACGAGCTAGAGAATTGGCAAGGATGGAATCGTCGCTAGTCGTAGTACAGCCGTATTTTAGACCGAAAGACGTCTTACTGTGACCTACTGTGCTGTGTACTGTGTTTGCCTGTCATCTGGACCGGAAGTTTGTGAATTTACCTACAAAAATGGGAGCTAATTGTTATTAAGCAAGGAGGCGCATTTTTCACTCTACTGTGTGTGGCATCGTCACGGTATCATCCCTCTTCAAACCTAAAGAATTAGAAACTCGGAATCGACTTCAGTGATCCTTCTAGAAAGCGTCTAAATGCCCACCACCGCTGATGGCAGTCACTTTACAAAACAAGCAAATTATTTATGACACAGAAACAGAAGGAAGAGCCCTCCCTACTTGGCACCACAAGTGGGTGGAACCGACATCAGTTTATGGCCGCAATTTGCACACTCAGAGGTGCGTGGAGGAGTGGTACAAGAGAGGGAGGAGCTATAATTGTTCCCCACGCCGTGGCTGCCTCGCCTTGACTCTTGTCGCCACACAGAAGTGAACAGCCTCGGCACCATGCAGCAACGCCCATCGTTTAAGAAGCACCAACTCTTCCTTCCCCCTCCCCTATCTCCCCCAGGAAATTTATTCACCCTCATTACGTGCCTTTGTTGTCGTTGATGTTGCGTACCTTTTGCAAGCCCGTCCTCTAGTTTTAACTACAGTGAATCTAAAGCCACTTTTGTGAATGAGTGAGTAAACGCGCTCTTTCTGCTGTTTACCTCTTGCCTTAAACGAAAAAAAAGTAGATTTGGGAGCCCTTTCCAGTTTTACCTGTTTGTTCAGTTGCGAATGAAGATGAGACAGTCTTGTAGTAATTATGGAATTTTTTTAATGATAAATCCTTTATGTACACCTCATGTTAAAGTTGGTTCATGACTCCCATTTGGCGATAAAGTATGTTAACGGACCATTTTAGAAGAAGGTTTTTAAGTGGATTCTTCTTTGTGATGTCCAACTGAAACATTATATTTTATGCTAAGAAATGGACTTTTCTGGCACTTTTCTCTGATATTGTTTTAAATCAACTAGGGGTTAGACATACTACTTATTTCTGCTTCAGTAAACAATCGATGTATGATCAAATAGGTCCAATTGAAATTTAGCATTTGATCAAGAATACTGTCCACCGGCTAACAAACTTACCTATTCTTTTGGCACTCTTGATCCGCCAATCGCCTTACAGCATAACTGGGTATTTTATTCAAAAAATTCATTTTGTTTAAATTTCTTGGCATATAATATTACCTTTCTATTAACACCAAAAATATACACACAAGGTATAAAGATTTAAACGACTGGAATGTGAATGTTTAAGCAAAAGGACACTTCACTGTGAGACCTTCTTCTCAACCTCACTTTCCTCATGTTCTTGCTCCTCTTTAATCTCCAGTTTAACCCTCTTCACCTTCGTCTGCTGATCCGCATTTCCATTGGGTTCTTCCTCACTCTTCCCGCTGTAGTGCGTCTTCACGTGCTTACTCAGATGATCGTTTCGCAGGAAGCGCTTCTGACAAACCGGACACACGATGTTCTTCTCCCCCGCATGCGTTCTCAAATGGCGTTGCAACTCATCGGACCGCGGAAATCGCTTTCCACATAATAGCCAGTTGCACACAAAGGGCCTTTCTCCTGTATGCCATCGCAAATGAGCTTTTAGGTGACTTGTCTTGCTGTACACCTTTCCACAGCCTGGCACATGACAGCTGTGCGTATTGCCGTTACGTCTCAAATCCGCTGCCAGGTCTGGGTTCGAGGCCGCCAGTGTGTCAATCTGTTGGCAGTTGGGACAGTCGCAATTACTCCGAGCTCCTGCATAGCGCCTATTAGTTGGAAGCATTGGTCTAGTTGAGGTTGGAGTGAGCGGACGTGGATCATAGGGCTTTGCAGCTTCTGCTGCTGCGAAGAAGTAGTTTGCTGCGTACACCGGATCCTTCGTAGGGTCTAGAGTGGCTGACATTTGTTGGTGGTAATTGTGGTAGGGATTAATGAAGCTGGACATCCAGTTTGGCTCAAGGATTGGTAAATATCGACTTTGTTGGTTTTCATAGGCGTAGCCCTGGTTGACATTATTCGAGAAATCATTAAACCATTGTTGATTTGGAGATGGAGACGTGGAATGCTCTTGAGGTGCAGCAATAGCAGCAAATGCTGCTGCCGCCCTTGCGACTGCTGAGCTATCGGCTGAAGAAAGTGGTGAAGCTTGACAGTTTTCATTGGGAGGTTGTAGAAATCGATAGATGGCTGGAGGATATTGAGTGGTCAAGTTGGCAAATGGAGAAGAGGAGGCATTACCCATGGGCGCCCCGTTTTCATCACCCTGTAGACCGATGCTAAGGCAGTGCGCTTCTAGCATACTGAGAGAATTAGAGGAGAGGTTCTCGGGAGAATTATCCTCCTGGAGGAAAAAAATGATTAACATATCTTAACCGACTGGATTTAGGAGGCCTAAGCAATTTGTCTATTGCGTCGGAATTCAATACCATTTTCTATTCTTTTCTTCAGCTTTAAACCATTGAGGATTAGCGGTGCTGGTAAAATAATCAAAAAAGACAGTGACCAACCAACCTTAAAAATAAAACACCTGAACTTCACAATTCTAGCATTTTGGTAGCACAAATGTAATTTAATAAAAAGGCATTTTTATTACTTCTTGATCAGGGTATTATTCTACCAAATGTCAGCCGCCCTGTCTCTGCAAGTATGAAAAACCCTGTTTCCCTTTATGTCCCCTTTCCTCATAGGAAGAAACGCACCTGGCATTGTAAAAGACGTTAAAAAATGGGTAACCTGCTTTCCTCGGTACAGGCAGCCATATGGCCATCATCCTTTCGCCTCCCCTTCCTCCCCCTTCTTTTCCCCATGCACAAAGTGTGAATTTACGAGTCTCCATTACCCCTCTCAAGTTAGGAAAGATAATTAACCCCTCCCCCTTCCGCCTTTCTGCTAGCAGTAAAAGGGGTTTCCAAACTGCGGGTTGTAGTCTGAACAATTTTTTATGAAGAATGATGGTGATGATGATGCTCCCCTGATATTGATGCTTCTGGTATTGGGGTAATCATAACAATAATTGTCGGGCAGCAGAGAAAATTATACCACTCCAACCGGACAGGTAGATAATCTCACCATTTCTGGTTTAGGTTTGAACAGAGTGGCTGGCTATGTGGCTAAGGAGAGGACACCTATCATTAAGACACCGCTGTGGAATTAAATCTGCTTATTTTTGAGATGGGTGATACTTGTGCCTATTTAAGGTAGGGTTATAAATATTGGGCGGAGGGTTGTCACCCTTTCAACCGCCGCGTTTCCCTGTTTTCCTTCAACAAACCTAGTAAGGTACACATGTCACGAAAGCTATTTTAACTTAATAAAAAAATAACAGCTTATTTTTGCCTGCTGAAAAGTGAGGAAGCTCTCACTTTTACTTAATCGGACCATAGCAACCTAACAGGGAATTTAGTCCCCCCACCCCGCTACAGACGATTAAACGAGCAATTAAAGTGACTTAAGGAAATAAACGTCCTGTGCAGGAGAACTGTGAAAAGCACGTTTGATGCCTAAGGGGAAAGTGAACTATGTCGTGAGTTGATTAATGCCGTAGGAACTGCATGCGACGCATATACATGCCACCTATACAAGAAAACTAAGGAATAAAACTACTCGAACGGTCATTTAGCAGGCTAAAAAGGGCACCACGCAAGAGTGTAAACATGTTTTGGCACAATGAGATCAAATAAGTTTGACTAAATCTAATTAGGCCAGTCTGCTATCAAAACCTTAAAAAGAAAACCAAACACCAAACCTTATTTGCTAAAAACGGAATTTTAAATATGCGAGTAAGTGTAACATGACAGGGGAAAATTGTGAAATCACCCGTCACATATTTGTGGCACAAGGCTCAGAGAGGAAAGCTAAACCACTGCATACATGGAGTGGTCTCGACAGCGAATGCTCTATCTAAACTTATTTATTTAAACTTTTTTATAAGCTAATGGAATTCTGAAATAAAAAAGTGTCATTTTATAAATTCATTTAATTTAAATGCCAAAGAATCTCCCAATAACCGATAAAATACACTTATTCCCCAAATAACATCAATTTAATTTTTCATGGTGGGCTTTTGCATGTAGAAATTAAGAATTCGACCACATTCGACTGGCTTTAGATTAAATGGAGTTTTTTAGAAGGTAAGAACAGGTCTTCGTGTTATAGTAAATTAAAAACGTAAAACCAACTCCTAACAAAATTGCTGATTAAAAAGCAAGGACAAAAATACTTATTAGTGTAGAATAATTAATCGCTATGTACCACTACTGATTTGCATTTGTTAATAAACGATTGGTTAAAAGTACATCTTTTTGTCGGTCAGGAGCTTAGGAACAAGTGGAACTTACGACAGGCATCGTGATTCTGCACTAGGATCAACGCGTTAACGCAGTAAAGACACGAGTAATGTCAAGTGCGATAAGGTGTCAATTATTATTCAGTGCTTCAGCTTAAGCATGGTAAGTTAAACCAATCAGCGTTGAAGCCTCGTTTCCTCGTAGCCAATTGGTGTTCGAGCCGTCGTGTAATGTGTATCCAATCCTTAATTTGCACAGGCTGACCAATTAAAATCGCCTGCGAGTTTGGAGCACGTGGTGCTAATTTTCTCAACTTGACTAATGTGATGGATTAAAAAATAATGTTTCGTGTTGAAAATGAAAGCCATTTGATGTGATTTCAATTTCAAAGCGGAAAATATCGCTGTTGACTGTCAGGCCATGCCGATTCCTTGGCTTAACACCTCCACCCTCGTCACACCTCTGGTAGTCGGTTTTACCGAGTCGAGTTGCAAAGTAGTCAATTAAGTTTTAACTAGGAGAACCGACATAAAATATGGAATGAAATCAATTTCCCTTTTTAGTAAGGGGTTTATCAGTCCGGTGGTGGTGCCTTTACCAGATCAACGAAACATCTTGAATATGGAGATGAATTTACTCCAAGAATTTCAGGCATTGCTAATGTTAGAGAATATCCCAAACTCACATCAGAAGCCAAGTTGGCTTCAACTTCTTTAAGTGAGTTGGAATAAATTAAAATTAATAGCTGCGAAAAATGAATGCAGATTTAAATTAGATGAAGAATTTGTCAGACAAGTGGATAACGGCCGAGGCGACTCCCAATGTCTTGTAATAATATAAAATTCCTAGTCGTTGATAGGCAAAAGCTCTCAATATTACCGTCCCAGGAACACGTTTTACTAGTGTTTATAGTAAAAGGCGATTCGTTCTTTACACCACTATCAACCGGGTTGGTGGTGGAAGTCCAGCAGTGGGTGCTGAATATCACCTTTTCAATCGACAGAGTACCAGTTTATTCTCTCCCTCTTTTACACGTTTTTTCAAAACGCCCAGTGTATTCTAAATTGTTTTCTGGGTGACTTTCTCAAAGAGTGGCTTTTACGTGCATTGAGTTGAGAAGCCTGTCAGAGCGATCCACTAGCTACTCGTCTCATCATTCCAAGGCACTTGTCACTTTACATCCAAAAGTCTGATTTGAGTATATTTTACAGTAAATGGAACTGCTCATCATGACCTTCTTCAAGAAGGGCAAATAGGACTTATAGTTGAGGTCTATCAACTCGAGATGATGCAACGTGGAGGTGTACAAAGGATACATTTCCTTTAGCATATTGCAAAGCTAATGATTCAGTTATGCCTGCTCTTGGTATTTTTTAAGAAAACGTAGGGCATTAGGCCTTATTTTATCAAACTTACCTGTGAGAAGATCCAGAGTCTTAATTATGAGTGAAAATTGAAAAATACTCCCTAAACTCCTCCTTCGCAATTTCTTGATGGTACTTTATTAAGTGATGGGAAGGTAAAGCCAGATATGGAGAGAGCTGGATGGGTTTACTAGGTTTTAGAGACAAAGCATTTCGAAAGGGCAAACCGTCTTCAAATTGGAGAAAGATGATGATTAGTACCAATGGTTATTTTAACAACCGCCACAACTAAGCGGATCTGGTTGGTCACCTTGTGCTAGATCTTAAATCCATTGGCTGATAGTGCTAATACAATAGGGCCTCGAGCGCCGTCAAGGCATGTCGTCTTCTGCCACATTGATGACGTCTTTTTATCATTTATAAGACAGTGGATAAAGTGGGTAGGTAGAACTGTCAAATTAGACAATAATCATTTAGTTCTGCAATCTGATATAGGCGAATTGGTTGTAAGCTATAGACCCTTCTCCTATATAAGTTAATGGTCTTCGAAATCTCTCGAAGCTGTTTTAAAATCCCGTTTCTTTCTTGCTAACGGTGATCGGACCCCAATCCCGCCTTGCCGTTTACAACTAAATGTAAAGTCTAAGTCAATCCTTGGGTTAAAACAGTCAAACTTCAGCCCTGTTAATCCTTCCTACATTTCCTCTACAAAACCAAAAAAAGATCATTCCAACCATGAGAAGCAGACGATTATCTTTCATTTCTTTACTTTATTTTGGGTGGTCTGATTGACTTTTTCTATAAAAGAAACGCACACACATGTCCCACGTTTAGATTGGCACAAGGGTTTTCCTCATTTTAAGCCGGCTATAGGCAGGCAGACTTGGCATAAATATCTGTGCAGGGGAGGAAAGCAGCCCTTTAATTAAGGTGGGAGCAATTAGAGCAAAAGGTCACCTCGAAATGCAACTTTCCGCGCTAAAGTGGAAAATGATTGGGACTGTTTTAGTTATGTCCCTCAATAGTAATTGGTAAGTCGTCTGCGGAGATTGTTTCCCATTTATTTGCCAGAAATTTTATCTAAACACAAATGAAAATCTGGATAACGCCTCTATTGTCTAGCTGCCCCTATCCCCCTTAAAAACAGCATTTACGAATTGATTAGGACTTGTCAACCACATGGGGTGTCAAGTCACGTCTCGTCACCGCGAATAATGCGGAATAATGTGACTTTTAGTCAAAAATTTTGTACATTAGCAACCAAATGAGTCACGGACTGGGGACTTTGGTGTATCGAGTTAAGTGCTGCTAGATTTTCCCTTTTTACAGCAAATTATTTCACTAGCCGAATTTTAGTAGCTAAAAAAGACTTACTAGAATCTTGTTTGAATAAATTAGATAGGGGTGACGTAACTGTGGCTTGGCAACTGAGCTTACCTCGTGTTCGACAGGTCTGAGGGCAAGCCTAGTACGTACTCATTGGCCCAAACCTCGCCTTGTCAACGCAACAGCGCTCAAGTTACTCGTTGCTTGAATGTAAGGTCACCTAGTAGTGGATTTTGGTGAAGTCTAACTATAAAGTGGTGTTACCTGTAATTGGTAGAAAAAAACATTGAAATTTATTAATGGATCGTCAATGCATTTGAAAACCAACAAGCTTCAAAAATCCCTGGTTGTAAAAGGCGCAAATGGACAGTGTTGATTTTTATTGCATATTTCGAACAAAGCTGATAAACTGGTGAAGTTAATTTCCTGCTTATAAGCAACTCATGTAAATTACTTGTTTAACGGATTAATTATTTAAGCAGCCAATCAAGAGCTCCGGGGTTACTAGTCCAATTTGTCGATTTTTAAAGGAGGTATCAACAAGGTCAACTTTTTTGCTTATCGAATATTTATGTATTATTTATTTAATTCTTTAGGGATATGTTTAACTGTCGAATTCAATAACGTGTCGCTTAGGCATCTGCCATTTTACCCCCCCCCCGATGACTAGCCTCCGGCCCGCAAAAGCAGTCACCAAGCCCTTCACCACATCGACAGTGCATATTCTGCTCGAGTGATAGGTCTCCTTTCGTCCTCAGGGAAGTCTCGAGACGCTACATTTAGCCAGTTATTTTCTGAAATTTTGTCGAGTTTAACAGAATATATTTAACACCCAGAGGACTTTATTGTCGCCCTACAGAAAATCTAGTCAATGAAACGATTAATAATTACTTGAAAGTAGATGTGGTCTAAGATAGTCGTAGAAGCTAGAATAGCTACATGCCCTATCACTTTTACATAAATAGACTTGGGAACCAATTTTTCTCAGCATAAATGTGTCAGCTTTAGGCGTATTGAAACCCGGGTGAGGAATCAGGAGCCAAAGCTAGTGAAGTACCAGAATTTAGACACTAATTTGACGCGATTACCAACGCAATCGTGGTAATTTGGACTGACTACCCACATGACTGATAGCGAGAAAAAAGTTTGACAATCTTTCTCAACACCCTCGATGCCATCGTCACTTATGTGTGACGACTCTACTTAATTACCCCACCTTCACGTAGAAGTAGCACATTTGATAAAAAGGAACAAATTAAGTCAGAAAAAAAATAAAACAAACAGCTCATGCCACACAAAATAAGTGAGTGGGATATAACAGTGGGTTAGCAACTAATTCGACTTCAAGCCACGTCCATTTGAGGTCATTAACCGTGACAACTAAATGATTCACCCCTATGGCCTCACTATGGTCTCACCAAACTTTAATCTGTAGTACCATCAAAATCAGAATTCCTTAGACCACTTTAGCAATCTATTTTGACGAAAATCCCGCCAATTGCTTGTCCCCCAAGATTGATAATCGAAGAAAAGCAGCAATTATGAACCAAATTTAACAGCACTTTTTTTAAACTCTAAGCAAATAAGATTTTTTGGTGAAGCAGATGCTACTTGCTTCTGGAATGGGATGTTCTGCTTGTATAACTCCCTACAAGAACCATTAAATTCGAGATTGCATCTGTAATTCGGTTCGATAATTTATTAATTTCTCAGACCTTTAACTGTCAATGTCAATGAGTACGACTTGATTTTCATTGCATCTGCCATAAGCATTAATTAAACAAAAACCTTTATTTTATAAAGATAAGCACGCAGATAATTAGAATCAAGGGGGACTGGCTTGAGTGATGAAACAACGGGATAACACCCACACCAAATGTCGAAGGGATAGGGGGCTAACAAACGGCTGTCACATGGCAAGCATTAAAAGGTGACAATGAGCTCTGGAGGCTGTCAATTTAGTCTTCACACCTCTCACGCGTATTTTTAAAACACGCGGCGCCAGTCAATGCAGTAACTGACTTGCGGTCCGACATTTTGGGTGTCCTCAAGCAACCCACTGAATACCCACCTTTACAATACTTGGGGCTCCACATTTCATTTTATCTGTGTGTACTTATAGCACCCTTCACCCTACTGACTAAACAATTGATACGATACAATCTTTGGTGTGAAAGATTAATTGCATTTCCTTAATTATTTGTTTAACTCTTCGCTGTGGTTTCGCGGGCACTTGATTCTCCGTCTTTGTACTTCCACTGGGCAACATGGTCTCCGGACCGTGTCAGTACGCCCCATTCGCCTCCCCCTCCAGCCTTTCTATACGCCGGCAATGTGTATTGTGTCTTCTTCCGTATTCAGGGAAGTTTTGGGGGGCTGTAAAACCTATCACTGGGAAACAGCCAGCATAAGTTAGTCAGTTACCGGGAGGTAGTAGCTACTCCTACAGAAGGATAACGCAAGGCCTCATATAACGCAATTTGGGATGATATGGAGGAGACACGGTCCCATCCTATTATTTGGCAATCAAATGGTCAACTGCAAATTGAAACAGACATTTAGAAATTTGAAATTGGAATGGGGTTGGGTTGAGCTAGGTGTCTTCCTCCCTGAAGTAAAATGGTGTGTGTAAGTAAGTTATTCCTGGTAGTAAGGGAAGAGTAACTGAAATAAGAGATAAAAAGCGGTCTCAGAGGCATGACTGATCTGTAATATACTGGTCATAATTTTGCAGCCCTTCGCTAGTCGATGATAGCGTGAGGTGTCGCTGATGTCTCCCAAGCTATTAGCCTTCTAGGCCTTCTGTATGCCCATTATAATTTTTACTTTTAAGCTAATAAGTTCATACCACCTTCATGGGTAAACGGAGCACCTTGAATTGCGCCCAAAAGCTCTCGCCCATTGCTAGGATGCATCCAAGAAGGCTTACATTTAAATGGATCACTTGGGTGCTATGATTGGAGTGCATCATCTTTGAATGGTTTAGTCTGCGAAGACTCCAACTTCTCAAGTGAGTGAAAAACCGTCATTGAGGTTGTTCTTCCAGTTCTTTAACAGTATTTAATGCTTTAAACAGCTTTTTTTAAGAAATACGATTTGGATACGGGAATGTGCTTGATGTAGGGCATCGCCTGGCTTGCAGCCCTCCTCACTAAATAAGCCCCACCAAACTCATCAAGACCTACTAGATGTATTGAAACCATCAATTACACGGTTTTCAATCACGAAGTTGGAAACGAGAGAATGGGAATGGGTAGGTGAGGAGGGAGATAGCGAACAAAGACCTACAGTGAGATGGTGGTGGAAGATGAGATTAGGTGACCAAGTGCTACCTGTCAAGAGGTTGAATTGGTTTGGGTTCAATTTTCTTTACTTTTTAAAAGAAATTATTTTATTTTCTAAAGAAAAAAATCTCAACATAGTGTTTTGTGGATGAATGATGTCTTAGAAGTGCGGGTTGGGTAATTAGTGAATCATGCAGAGACAACAACCGATATTTTCTTGCTTAACTTTGAAATATTACCAAAACCCTCCATCACATACCACTTAGCGCCCAATGTAAAATTCATGTCTCATTTCTATTATCTATCTGGAGAAAGTGAAGAGTAAGTTGGTGATCCTAAACAGGAGTCCTTGCATCCCTTACGGTAATCACTAATGAAAGTTGCCCTTGCTATGCAGATTGTAAATACTTTTAACCAAAAGCGGCATGTAATTCACCTTCACGATCAAGAATAAGGATTCACCCTGGGTATCATGCATCTTCTTTGGGTGCATCATCTCTAAAGTAGCATTTTTTAACCATGTCTGGAAGGTAAGATTGGTTAACTCACCGTTCTCATTTCATCTACAATTCTGTTAAGAAATTAGCATTTACAGCTTTGGTACAGGGAAGAGTGGGAGTACCACATCGGTGGATTGACATGGTAGCCTACTTCTGACACATGGCTTGTGTCCTTACAGCTACAATACCCCAAGCCGGCTGCTCTTCTTGAAAGTGGATATGCAATGCCCTTCCAAAGCAAAGCCTTTGGAACGAGTGTTCAGGTGTTTAGTTATTAGGAAAACTAGAAGAAATAATTGTGCTGGCATTTTAAAAGTTGGTAGTCATTTGGGGCCTCTATATTGTGATGCAATAAATAATTAAATTACTACAATTACGATAATAATGAGTACCTTCCACATAAATAGGGCATACTTAAACGGCCTCTGATTTTAGGTTCTAGAATTTGCTGTTACAAATTCTCTAATGTGACAACCTAGTGGAAACGGAGGGATAAGAATTGACCCTGGTAGTCACATGCTGAATAAAGGGCCTGACTACTGTAATACGATGGTGGTTTATCCCTTGGTATTGGTGAGGCACCACTTTTGTACTTTGAATTAGCCCCCTTGTATTTCGCTGGGTGGGCTGGCCTTTCGGGCCATGCCAATAGCCCAAACACCTTCTCCGTGCTGAATATATTTTGTCCGAGTATTTTGTCTTCTTTCGTCTTCAGGGAGTCTCGGGACGCTACACCACCGCCTCATAAATCGAATATTAAAAGTGAGGTGTAACGAAAAGAAAAATAAAGAACCATAATATAAATAGCCAATTGAAGGAAAAGGGAAAAGCAGTATAAACAATGAAATAAAACATGTGGGTGGTGTTGTTTAAATGGCCTAGGGAAAAGGTTAAATATTGAAAAGCAAAATTTAAAGCTTGACAACTGAGTTTAGAAACAAAACTCCATTTTTTACTCTGATTGGACTAAATTTTTACCACAGCTTTGGTTTTTTGCTTTGTTTAGATCAGGTTGTTGAAAAATTTTTTGGTTTTAGCAAACAGGATACTGTGTAATACGATAGTGGTTTATCCCTCGGTTCTGGTGAGGCGCCACTTTTGTACATAGATTTAGCCCCCTTGTACCTCGCTGTGTGGGCTGGCCTTGTGGGCCATGCCAATAGCGCAGGCACCTTCTCCGTGCTAAAAATATATATTTTGTACGAGTATTGTGTCTTCTTTCGCCTTCAGGGGGCCACGGGACGCTACAACTGTTTGGTTAAAAAAAAGCTTAAGGGGAACGTGCTTCATTCAGTAAGTGCTACTAAAAACATATTGCCTCACTTTTAAATTTAAAATTAAATAAAACTTTGTATTTGACTTTAAATTTTTTCCGGATTTAGTTTCACACGTTGCTTAAATCTTGTTTTGTTTTAATCTGCTTTCCGCAAAGGGCTCTGACCAATCGGGGGCCAGGTGCGCAGATTTGATATTTGCGCTACACCTCTGCAAACATGGTGCCTCTCACGCCGAAGCCCTTTTTGAGCAGTATAACTGGCAAGAAAGTAATCGTAAAACTTAAATGGGGCATGGAGTACAAAGGATATTTGGTCGCTGTGGATCGCTATATGAATCTTCAGCTCCATAGTACCGATGAGTATATCGACAACTGCTTTACCGGAAGCCTGGGAGAAGTGTTGATTCGCTGTAACAACGTTCTCTACATCAGAGAATGCGAAGACGATTCAAAAACCGATATGGAGTAACATCTCCTTAGTACTGCTTTTCGTATGCGTCTGTATATAATGCTCGATTGTGTGGCCTTCTATACAATAAATACAAACTTTGCAAATAACTTTTATGAATCATGAACATCTTCGAGGCAAGTGTTTTGTTTCGTTGTTCGAGGTTTGGGGATGTTCGGTTAACAGTGAGTCCAAGACTTGCATTGATTGATTGAGGTGGTAGATCCGTTATTTCTGGTGTCCGTTTTGGTTCTCTTGCTTTTTTGGTTCACTTGCATTAGTATCGATGGGGTGATTACGAGCCAAAGTTGTACCAGCATTTGTAGTTAATATGATGTATGTAGTTCCCTGACTTAATCGTGTGACACGTTGTTTAGGTTGTTCTCACATTAATACGTTCAGTTGATAATCCCTGGTCTTCCCTTAATGTGGATGTTAGTTCTGTTACTCATGGGTTGTGGAGTTAATTAAGTGGTCGACTGTGAATGAGTGGCCGGAAATTTACAAGTTCCGATAATCACTGTTCATTAAACTCCGTCTAGGACTCGTGGCTTGACGTCGTGTAATGTCTTCGCGTCGCTTGGTTGGTTTATTTTCCTTTGCATAAATGCCACAGGAGATGGATTGAATTCATTCAGTGAATTAAACATCGTGTTAAAGCATGTGTGTGACTGTGATGTCATCGTGGCTACTTGTTAATGGTTAGTATCAGCGAATACCATTAATTTGTCCAATGCTTCAAGTGGCCCTATGAGGAAAAGGAGCCTGTCTTCGAAACGTTAGGATGATGAGGTCCTGCCCCTAGAACCTAACTGCTCATGCTCTTGTTGTTCAGCTTGATCAGATCGTGACTCGTCCTGAGCCAGTCTTGTCACCGATGACTTTCTGTTTGGTGGATGAGGGTTTTCGACGTTGACTAAAGATCAAGTGCTAGGGTGGGATTCTCGGTGGAACATCGGCGGCTGCTTCAGACTCCAACTAGCTTTACTACAGTAGCCATTAGGAGTGAGGTTCCGCGTATATCAGCATAGATATCTTGAGCTGAGGTTGTTGCGCCCCGCATCGCGAAAATCACCATCCACCACCGATTCCTTCAGTAAATTTTCCTTTTATTGGATGAAACGACAGACCGGACCGAATCCCCTCCTGCTCGAGGTGAGCGACCTCCAGGGCTTCACACTCAGAGCATTCAAACCGGCAGAACAACGATGGACCCACCATCAGCATCACCCGAATACCTGAAAGATTAGGCGGCGACCCAGATGTTCCTTTTAGTCAATAATGGCCGGAACTGTCCCATACCAAGAGAATTACGGACGAATATCCGAGGGCACTGACATAGCAAACAAGGCAAACGAACAAATTTAAACCTAACTAAACAGACTCTCGGAAGTTCTGCCTAACATCGGTACTTTCAACCACATCTTTCCGTAACCCGACTCCGATCAGTGGCGACACTCGGATGTCAGCCGCATTTAAACGGACAGAGCCACATAAATTACGCAAATATCCCCAATTTTCACAACTTCCTCCCTTCAAATGAAAAGACGAAAACGTAAAGAACTCTCTAAAAGAGAAAAGGCAGATCGAAGATATTGCACAATGAAGGGGTAGAGAGAAATGAGACACAGAGAGAGAAATAGAGACCAGGGTAGAGAGGGAAAAGACAGTGCTATTCTTCCATTTTCTCGATGATGTTGCGCTTCAGGATTGTCACGGGGAGATATATCGGGCGCCGGCGATCACATATATGCATGTTACTGACCGCAAATAAGTAGGTGTGCTATCATGATCACTATTTACACGTCACATGAGGATGTACTGGTTCTGCACAGCCCGCGTGGCCACACTGGCAGCCACTGACGCGACGTCCGAGCAGACAGTGTTGATGCTGGCGCGGACGGAGCCACGACAGAAAACGAGACGTGGCCACTGAGGGCCACAGAGACGGCCAGCATTAGCCGCACGACGCGTGTTCACCACATAGGCTGATAGTGTGACGGGTGGAGGGGCCGTATCGACAGTGGGTTTCGCGTCGCCCGCTGAGGAGGAATGGGGTAGTGGAGTTGGGTGTTGCTGCTGCTGTTGCTGAGACTGAGTAGTGGAGGACGGGGGATGTTCCAGAGGGATGGGCTCCTGATGAAAGTGTTCCAACATCTCGCAGATGGAGGCAAAGGGAAGGTGTTGAACTTGACATTGACCGTCGGGGCTGAGAGTCATTCGTAGATGCTAGAGAAGATAAAAGAAATCAAGTCTACTGGATACTCCAGACTTGGTGAATCATATCAACCACTATCGAGAAAATGACGTCTATTTATTTTGAAATTCAGTAGCAGGGGGAGACGAATGGCTCCGTGAGGTGGAGATCGTACTCCCGTTCCTGCGAACATGATTTTAGGTGCGCAAAATTACACTTTTCTTCTCCTGTAGCTAACGTTGCTTCACTACGCCACGCACTAAAGTGCAAAGCGAGATATTTTAAAACATAGATTTGGTACTAGGAAGCACACAAGTAAATAAACAAACACATGAGGAAAGAGAAGAAACTATTTGGCGTGAATGTGATTCTGCCAAGTCCTTTTTTTTTTCATTGGTTGACAATAAAGCAACATTCCGCTGAAAATGAGAATCGCACCACCTTTTGAATCAGGATTATGGGAAAAATTTTAAATTGAAATCGCTTCCGTATCCGAAATCCGGGGACAATGGAGGATTTAAGGGAGCGATTAAAAATGGGTTGACGTTTGGCACTTTTGTCGCGAGTATTCAAATGATGCTGCACTTTTGATTCCCCACTTATCTGACCCTACATCTTGTTGAAAAAGGAAATGAATGGTATGGAGAAATGAGGAAAAAATAAGGGGCAAAACATCTGGGTTGAGATGGCGAATACGTCAACAATACGATGGGCAATAAAAAAGTCCTATCATTGCTATTAAGAAACAGTGAAGACAGGAGGAAAAAAGGTGGCAATTGATCGCGAATTAGCGTGTCATGTGGTAGCAATTTCTGTCTGACAAGACGACTGCCCTTGAAGTTTGGCACAAACGTTGCTACCAATAGCGTAAATCGTGCCAGAGTGAAGAAGGGACTAAGTTCTGTCATCATTTTAAACGTCTTGTCCAGAAAATGAGCATCTGGAAGTAGAATGATTAGTTCGAGAATGGTCGAACTACTGGTACGAAGGATGCGGACGTCGATCGAACACCCAGTCGACGAATACAGCCACAGCCATGTGAAATGAAGGAGGAAGACAGGAACGGATTTGCAATGTATGAGGAGGCATAGTTGAAGAAGTTGCGTGGAAGGTGATCAGTCAAAGCATTGTGGAAACTTCAGCGCACACGTCAGAGTGCCTTGGATATAGATGTCCCAAACACAAATACCACTTTCGAGCTGTCTACCTGGAAGGCATTTTTGTGAAGCCTTGCTCATGCCACATCCACCATCGGCGCGTCTTTGAAAAAGCCTGAAAGATGACTGGGAGCATTACAAAGCCATCGGCGAGTTGATTTACCGTGCAACCAGTGCAAATGGGTTAAAATTACTACGCCTGTCATCCAACCAAAGCATTTTACCAGAAAATGACATAGATGGTAAACTTCTTGAAAACTGATAAAGTGTATTCAACTTACCGCACGTCACTGCAAAAACTTAAGGCGAACGTTTCAACAGGTGCGACTACCTCATTACCTTGTCAGAAATGACAACATGTCATCCAATAACGAAGGAATGAAAATGGGCATCGTTGCTTAGAAAGTCTGGCGACATCAGATAAAACAGTCCGCGCACCACAAAAGACAGCACTGTTAAGAGTACAAATAAAGTAAGGGGGAAACGTTGCTTTGTGGACAGGAGACTTGAGAGCTTTAGGATAGAAATCAACTGGAGGGAAGGGATTGATAGAGCACTCGGATGCAAGGTGTCATTCAACAACATGAGGTTGCTCAGCCTTAACCAAGTCCAGAAAACGAGTAAATTGAGTCGCTGAAGGTGAGCGCTCTACAAATACTTCAATAATGGACAATTCCCTGACACAACACACAATGAAGAACTAGTGGAATACTTGGACACAAGCGTTAGATTCAACCGATGAGTAATCCAATTTCAAGTGGATCATTGGATAGGGGAAGTTCGATGCCTTCCACAAGCCGCATATCTGGAGGGGAGGCAGCCGCTGCGGACGCCCGAATATGCGGGCACCCACCACAAGTCTCCGTGTTAGCCCTAAATACCAGCAATTTTCAAATTCTTTACGTGGGAGAAGCCAATGCGCGATCCGGTGTTAAGTTAGAGTCTACGTCTCGTTGTGGAACACTCAATATGGCATAGCGCAGCCAGCAGTTCATAAAGGCCGATAAAAAAAGTGGAGCGATTGGTGTAGAGGTGATGCTGTGACTGGCTAGTGAACAAACCCACGATACGTCAGCAAGTTAAGATGTTCTACTTTGGCTGTATAACTAAGGTAAAAAAGTCATCGATACTTTGACAGTTTCAATAAAGTGCTCTCAGAGGCAAATTGGCCACCACAGGACTGCAAAAGACTGGCTCTCCTTAAAAGTCTACGCTTTACAACTGAAAAAGTGGGATTGCCCCCAGACTAAAACCAGCCTACGTGTACTTTACCACTTCAAACGCAACCAATGCGTGGTGCAACCAGTTACTGTAATTCGACAATGAACACATGCCACATGATGTATGCGTGGCACTGGCAAGACAGAAGTTTTAACTGCGAAACCACTGAAAATCAGAAACCAAGTAGGAAACACACCGACGAATAACAAATCCCCAAACTGTGTGAAAGACCATGAGATTAGGAAGTGCAAACGACAAGAGGGCCCTAGCAATTCCGTGTTACGTGCCGTGTGTGTGTGTGTGTGTGTGTGCAAGACGATATCAAGACCTAATCGCTTGCCCAACCAATCAGTCGACTGCACGCGCACACCCACACACGCAGCCCATATGACCTCGAGGTGACGCGTGCCAACCAATCAGCAAGCTGGTGGACATTGTCAGCTGATAGACCCACATACATAACCTGGCAAGCGGACGGGTGGTGCGCGGCCGAGAGAGAGAGCGAGAGAAAGAGACCAACATCAACAACATGGAGACAGGAATGTATGTGCGCGCACGCACAGAAAACAGAGCGGGGGGGAGGAGGGAAATGGAGGAGGATGATGCCAAAAGGCGAGTTAGCGAGCCAACGCACAGGCACGCCGGAGCAAAGAGAAATTATGGTAATGCTGAGACAGAATCAGAGCGACTTCCCATTTCTTTCTTGGCGCGTGTATGTGTGCGCATGTGTGTTGATGCCAAAAGTTAACGTGTATGTATCGTTGTCGGTGCCACCACCATAGACCTTGTGGCCTGTTTTGGAGGAATACGAAATGCACTTCTACACCCCTTAAGGCAATGAATAAGCATTCTTTTACAGATCTCCGGCATTACCCTGGTAACGTCTGATTTAGGGTTTGACTGATTTCAGACCCTGCAAAAAACTTAGTTATCTTCAATCTCTGCAGTACGTTGTACCTTCCAGCTCCTTCCGTATCTTATTCTACTCTGGGGCTTTATCAACCTCCCGTTCTCATCGGCAGAGTCGGACGTTCAAGAGATAATCCTCATTCATCCAAATTAGGCACAACTTTCTAAGGAGTTTTAGACAAGAAAAAACACCTATCTACCTCTCTTCTGCGCAGTCTCTTCCAGCGTTCTTCCCTTTCGTCATCAGTGTAACAGTCGAGTATGAAATGTGTGATTCATTCAAAGTGAATGGTAACTTGACCCTGCCACTTCAACCACTTCCAGAGGGATTTAAGTGAAATCATTTACTCCTCATCTTGTTTCCTCCTAATGTCCATCTATCTTTCTTTTTTTCGCAATTTCAAGGTAAAAACAATCAACGACCTCCAACGTTACATAGAGAAAATAAATTTCCCACTGACGGCAGGAAGCAAAAAAGTCCAACACGAGAAATGTATGCATTTTACAACCATTAAAAGAGAGCGCAAAAGGGCGACTCACCTTTGCCTTGCCATGACAACTAAACGTGAGTACAAACTCTCCGACCCGAGTTTCACTTTGTCGCACCAGAAACACTCCGTCCGACAACCCGGCAGCAGCTGCAGCGTTAGAGGCGCTGTTTGTTGTCGACGATTGCTGCGGGTTACGCGTCGGAGCAGAGGGCAGTGGCGGCGGTGAGGCCCCATCCGTCCCACCAACGTCCACCTCTGCCGGCTGGCCGAGAACAAAGGCGGTGGCAGCGACGCGCGACAGAGTGCCATGATACCAAGGGTAATTGGCCAGCAGCTTATCGCACACGAATGGGTTGTTGTCGGTGTTGGTCTCAGAGGTGGTAGGGATGGTAGCAGGAGCAGGAGCAGAGGAGGGTGTGTGCTCCGATGGAGCGATGCGGTGGAAGGCGGCGGGTGGACGGGAGGGAAGCGGACACACGAGTGCTGGCGGAGGAGAACAAAACAGGCGGTGAACGGGAATTGACGCACCAAAAATGCAGCGATTGGATTACTCAACTCACTGCCAGCGCCCTGAGAATTAAATGGTTGTTGGGAGGAGATCTGTTTGGGGACGACGGAAGGATTCGGCTGCTGCTGCTGTTGTTGCGATTGGGAATGGTGGTGGAGGTGGTGATGGTGATGCAGCTTTGTGGTAGTGGCCGCCTGATCAATTAGTGCGCCAGTGGAAGAGGTGGTTGAGTGCTGGTGTCCGAATTCATCACCTGAGGTCAGCATCTTCGACTTGGAAGCAGACCTGGGAGAAAGATAAAGGTGGCACTATTTTGGTGTCAATCCTCACTGTTTCTATGTAATCACAACAAAAAAGGACTCTAAAAGCAGTGAGGTTTAAATATGAAAAGAATCTATTCAAACTGTTTCTTGTTCTCGAAATTTGTGTCGGATACAGCGAAAGTGAGAAGAGGCATAGTAGCCGATCGTATATGAACTCGGGAATTCAACAACCACGAGTGCAAGAGAATGAGAATGCTTTTTTAGGATAAAAAAATGTACTCTCTTATTGAGCAGCCTGACTTAAGAGGTTCGAAAATGGCTAAACTATTGGTGTGATGGAAGCAACGGGATTCTGGAGTTCACCCAGCTACAGCCACAAGCACCAGCCACAAAGAGGGAAACCTGGGACTGACTTGTAGAGAAGGAATACGTTTCAAGCATACTTTGATTCACGGCAGTTCTGAGTTCAGCCAAGTGTGTCAGGTAGAAGCCTAGGCAACGGGTAGAGGAGCATAAATACAAGCACCAATCTTCTACACCAAGTAGACACCCAAAAGCAGGCGGAGAAGCGTATAATGAAAGTACCGAAACTGTTTAGTAATTCCTCATAAGATGTTAAGAAACTTAAATGAACTCATGCATGAAGGTATAGCTCAAGACACCGCTCCCAAGGCAGTGACACATCGGTTCGTTCTAAAAGAAAACATAACGACTGGAATCGTAAAACTTTTGCTAGTCTATTCCACGATTGCAAAGCGACCCATTTGCCGATAAAAAAGAGCCTATTACATAATTTGGCCCTCATTAGAGAGGATCTCAAGCCAGTTAAACTGACAATTTACCGTACACCAATTCAACCCTGCACGACAGCATCCAAGGTCGATCCATCAAACGGTAGGGTACAGGCCAATTTAACCTGGTAAAATTGAAAACGACCGGAAAATTAAAGCTCTCGACCATTCATCGTACAGTTCTACAGTAATTTAAACCCATTTCACCCTAAATTGCGTAGTTTTAGCATCACGATAAACCCAACAACCAGGAGGTAGTGAAGTGATGCTACAAAAATTGAAGGGTAGGGACAGGTGATGACGATGATGATGAAGGGGTAGGAAAGTGTACACTCGGATTATAAGCTAGCGCACACGCACGTACGCACATGAGGCGAGACGGGACATGCATAAAAAAACCAGACTGGCCTAACAGTACCACCAGAGCAGCAGCAACAGCAACAACAACAAAGGGGTAATTAAATTCATCAAAACAGCTCCACGGCCGCCGCCTGTACTGCCTGGTGCTACTATTGAATTCGCCAAGGCAAGACAAAGCGGCGCCTGCAAAAGGGATAAGAAAATGGGGAAGTAGGAAAGCATGGGATTTAATTCAAGAGAGCCTCGAAGATCCAACACGATTTTGCGTGTCACGCGGATCAGTTCGGGATGTTTATCTAAATACACATTTTGATCATTTCTAATCTCAAGAGAACCAGCAAAACTTATTCAAATTCACTCTAAGTGATCACGAATAAGCCAGCCTTGCGGAAGGCCCAGGATGAGAAATGGTGATTATTGTAGGGAGCAGTTGATGCAGTATAACGCAATCAGATTGAATGAATTAAACTAAACAGGTGGCATGGAGCTTCGCTTCTAGCCACGAAGACTTTGTAACACCTTCAGAGATGACGTGGAGAACCGACCCATAATCGCCACCGCCCCCCCCCCCCCACTCCCCTCACATACTGTTACGACTGGATGAAAGACGGCGATCTGCTTGACGGTGGAGTTTCAAGCAGTCGTCGATTGGACGAAACGACAAGTAAGTAGGCGTTAGGATTGGACAATAAGGAGCAGACACTAGATTGATTGTCCCACAAGACAACCTTTACTCGTGCACATAAAGCTGCTGCTCTAAGTATTTCTCAACCGTAAAACGTCTTTCGGATTGATACAATCCCCGCCGATAGGATGGAAAACTGCGTAGGGCTAGAAAAGAAGGTTTACGACCCCAAAACTAAATGTTTTATGCGCACACACAAAAAAAGAATAAAATACAAATCTCCAATCGCCCACACGTCTGCCTGGTCGACTGGGCTGAGACGAAGAATCAGACACACACGCAATAAGGATAAACAAACACCCCATATAAGACAGACTGGGAAAAAAGCAAATTGGCTGAAAGGCAGACAGACAATTTGGAAGGACGCCATTACCAAAGACCAGTCAAATGTGAAGGGAAGTGGCCTCATTGCTACAAATGGGGAGGAAGTTCATTCGCATCAACCTGTGTGCAGAGGCACAGCAACGCTTTCATAGCTCAAGGTGGATAACCTTTCAATCCATACAACTTGTTCCCCAAATTGGCCCCGGCTTGCTTCCTCCACGTGGAGAATTGCCCATTTGCAAAATAGTGTCAAATGCTATCATCAGAATAAACAAAAAGGCACGCTCAACATATACCCCCTGTAAAACTCGGGAGATGGAACTAAAAGCGATCCATTGACCATATCGGCACAGAATCCCCCCATAACCACTCAAATTTGATCGCCTCCAAACTTACGTCAACAAAGATGGAGCCACCTGTCTCTGACACTCGAACCCTGTCGACAGTGACAACGGTGGTAGAGGCGGCGGCAGAGGTAGTGGTGGTGGTTGTTGTGTCAGAAGAGGAGAAGGCTCTGCCAATTCACCGCCTCCATTGCCGTGGTGATGGTGCTGATGGCTGCCGGGTGAGGGCAGGGATTGGTGAGCAGCAGCGGCTACTGCGGCTGCAGCCGCCACGGCAGCAGCAGGATTGGTGAGACAACGACGGAGAGGCGGGAGACACTTGCGGATGGCAGTGAGCCAACAGGCGGCTTCGTTGGAGGAGGCCGCCTCAAAGATCTTCTCGTCGCCAGACTCAGTCTAGAAGTCAAAGGGGCATAAGCTTCGGCTGCATTTCAGTTTGGCATTTGAAGCTATGAATAAGTTTGTCCTGCTTTTCAACAGTCAACAGTTAATTCTGCTTTCATTAAAGGATTTGAGAGTGACTCAGAGAAACCAAGGATTTCAACGAAAAGGAAGCAAACTTCGAATAAACCATTAAGTACTAATTGTTTTACCGAATACAAAACAAAAGAACCAGGAGAATTAAAATGACGCGACAAAGCATTGATGTGAACTACTGTTGAATTTTGAAGACTTCTGAACCAGATCTTCGTTTCAATCTGGCCGACAATTTCAATTTGATGGATATTGTTGTGATGGTAAACACGAAAAAGTAATTACAGAGGGTGGAGGGGATGACGCACAAAGCAAGGAGGGGAAGAAACCAGAGCGGCTACACATACGATGTCACAGAGACCTAATCAGTCCGCAACAGTCTCACCTCCATCGCAGCATTCCAGAGCTCTGTTCGCATCACCTACAAACCTTCGTGGTGTTGGACTAGGAAGCAAACATTTCGTGTTCAGTGACCCATTGAAAGCATACCGTGTGAGAATTCAAGTCAGAGAATTGACAAAGACTGAACGAGCAGACAAAAGAAGCTTGGCAAACTACCTTGAGAAGGAAGACGTAGTTGCGAAAATCTGTCAACTCGGCAGGACGCAGACGTCGGAGATCCGCTATCAGACTGCACGCGATACCGTAACGAGGACAATTCGACTAAAAAACAACGAAGCAAAGAAGATAAAAGCCCGCCCCAATCTAGTCAGACTCCGTAGACTACCAATACCTTGAAAGATTACCTCGTCATTACTCGTTTCAGAGCAACTTAAAGATGTCGATTTTCAACCACTCCTAGCCCTCCCAAAAGTGTTATGAAGAGTTGCTTAGCTAGTACCGGACTAGCACCATCAGAAGTTCTACCGTCTCTCCCAGATGGGTGAAATGCACCTCAAATGGATGACAATTCTTGAATGAATTTAAATGCATATAAACCGCGTTTGAAGTTACTGGAGCCACCAAACTCCAGTCAAATTCGCTAAAATCATTTGTTTTAACTAAGAAGTCATTCAAGCTTTATGAAAGCAATCATCAAAAAAGGGAATGCGTTAAGTGATCATTTAAATGAAAAATAGATGATAAAAAGCACGCCTGGAGATGACAGTTTCGAATGCAGATGTAGACGACACAAAAATAATACAGCGACCAAAAAAGTCCAGGCGGTTTCGGCACACCCCGCTAAAATGACGTTGTGCAACTTGCAGGAACTTGGCAAACACTTCCGATTGTTTATATGCATGCATTACAAAATGTAGGTAAATGTGCGCCCGATTAGCATTAGTACTTTCCTCCCATTTTAAAACCTTCCCTCAACAACTTTCGGTGGAGCCTCTTGAACGTGATCCCAATATGCCGCCCTGCAGAAAAGAGTCCAACTTGGGTTCGGAGGTGCGGCAGCTTTAAAGTTGCGCGACAATGCAGAAAATTCGTTCAAATCTAAGCCAAATGGCAAGAACACGGAGGCCCCGCAAGTGGGTGTCACGTGAGGTGCACTTGCAGGTAACTACCAACTTGAAAGATTGTCATCCTGCTGCTTTTGCTAACTGACTTGTGTAAAGCAGTTTGCCTTGGTAACACCAAGCAAACGAACATGTCATTAGTTATTGCCAAACGATCCACTCACCAGTCCAAGCCAGACTTCTAAGGCATGCAGCACTTCATTCCTGCAGGATGACTTTGTGTGCGTGCGTATGGTGCACAACAGAAGAAGGTGGCCACTAGTAACTTCGTGTTAGAGGCCAAATGGCAGTTACTGATGCAATCTCCTCAATCGGTACAAATTGATACAACCCGAGGGGTGCGCAAGAAACACCTCAGAACAGACAGAACAAGTAAATCAGCCCATTCTTACAAGGCAATGCAAAAAGTAGGACCTTAGGAGTGAAGAGAGTGGAGTGGAAGAAAGGATGGGGAGAAGCTGTCCCACCTCCTCCTCCGAGTTCCCTTGATGGTACTTATTCAGTTGGACAATCACATGGAAAATAATAATAGGCCCTCGGGAAATAAAAGCATAAGGTAGGAATGAAGAGGACCAGGGCTGGGTTTTTTCCTAGCCTTTCGAAATAAAGTGTTCCCCAAAAGAGGAATTCGCAAGCCTGATTGGTGGTGGGGAAAGGAAAGAGAGAATTTCTTTGAGCTAATTTTCAAGCATCTACCTTTATTAGCGCTAATTCCACCGGCTATGAATGTTTCAACTACTCGGTTACGGAACCAATGTTAAAAACGCAATAAAAAGTTGTCATCGTAAAGACATGCGTTTCGAGAATGTACGGCATTTCTATTTACGAAGGCATAGATGCAATCAAGTTGATGAGTTTTGACGCAGGTACCCAAAAAGTCCCCTACTTCACAGCCGCGTAAACAAACGACACATCCCCTTTCATTCTTTTCAAGTTTAGATTTAAGGGCTTTTGGAAACTCAAAGGTCAGCATTTTATTCAAATATTGAAAATGAATATTTTAAACGAGATAAAGGAAACAGTAGGTTGTGCCTCCACTTCTTGACAGCTTTTAAAGAGGAAGCAATGGAGGTGTTGTAAAGACAGCACTCTGACCCCGACCAAAGACACCAACAACGACCACAAAAGCGAAGATTACACATTCATCCCAAATCATTCAAATGAGTTAACACCAACAAGACATGCTAGTCAGACGGATGGATGGGTGGAAAGGTTCTACTTCCGGATGAATGAAGTTGATAAGGGTTGGGATGAATGACCGCCTTGAAGCTTCCACTGGTTGATGATCGATCGGAGAGATTCCACTCCGAGAGACGACTTCGTTCTCTTGGTAATAAAAGAGCATCAACTACGCCGAAGTCCTGGGCTAATACCTAAGCGGCGGCTAACACTGAAGAGTGGGTGCGCCCATCTTAAGCCATTACCAGTCAATTTGAACCATTGTTTCAGCAACTTGCCAAAGGAGAAGCAGTCAATGTGACATAAAATGGAACCATTTTTAGTGGCAGGTTGCGATAGTCCCTCTCTGACAGTTAACAAAGCGATTAGGCAGAGCGTAGCTATTACACAAGGATATTTTAAGATAGGTTTACCGCAATCCAGTACTACATTAATCGTCTTAACAGATAACTTTAAGTGGGGTCTTTTCGAAACGCACAAGCGCGGTAAAAAAAAAGTACTAAACCACCACTCAAACCAGAGGCACGAAGGTAACCCTCGTAATTTGTCAATTCGCTTGGCGCACAAGACGGGGTATTTCGTAATGCAAGCGTAGACGACAGAAACGAGGGCAGACTGGCTGCTACGACAGTGAGCCAAAATTGCGCCCACGTGATCCCCACGACGCCTGGGCCAAGACAGAAGGGGTGTAGGGACGAAGAGGGGAGGGAGGGAAGAAGGGAAGTGGTCGCTGTAGTGGCGGCAGTCACACAAGGCCAGAAATAGCCCCTGCCCATGAGGCACAACTACGCACACGCAATCCCCAAATGCACGCGGCAGCTGCAGAAACAACAGTTGGGGTCTTCTTGCCTGCAACATGGGTAGGGTAGGAAGGAGGGAAGGAAGGAATGGCTCCCGCCGCGACGTGGAAAAAATTGATCAATGCGTTTACGCAGAGGGATTAATTATCCCATTTGTGAGTAGAGAGAGAGAGAGAGGGGGGGTGAGAGAGATGGAGTGGTGCCACTGGCACAACGCGATAGGGAGGTTGGGAGAAGAGCGATGACAACGTGGGTTTTTTGACCTACTGCCAAATAAGTCTTATGGTGACACGAACAAAGTAGCCCCAGAACAAGCTGCACTAATTATGACCCATCTTTGGTGTAAAACAAGGTGTTTGGTTACTGGGGTAGGGAAATTTTTTAGACAGGTGGGTGACTGAAAAAACTGTCTAAACAAGCTGGGAAAAACGTCTAATATATTGAGCCCCTGACTTAAGGTGTTAGGTCAGACAGTTAATGCTGGATACCAGACTAATCTGACAGCTACATCTCGTCAAGCCGTGTTGTCAATTTGACAGGCAATGCATGGTCTTCACCTCTCTCCCTCTCTTTTTCATGCTAAGAAATGCATGTCAGAAACTAGGTCTAGATGAGGTACACTTTTAAAACATTACACATTCAGCTAGGTTGATATTCCAAGGCACGTGGAGTGGCTTGCTTTTGGGATTCCTGGCAAGGAAAATTTATCTGGCGGTTTTGATAAATTGGCTTGGCTCCAACTGAAATACGATGAAAAGTGGCATCAGAACTACGCTAAAGGAAAACGTCAGAATTTGATTAGGAAAATGGAAAAGCTTATATGAATTTCATGGTGAATTAACTCTAAAATTATGCTAGACGGATCATGGATGACGGTCTTGGAAACTGAAGACGAATACCGGGGAAGCTAGAAAGGTAGAAGTTCCGAGGGATGACAAAGAAGACCAAAGACCATCACTCACGTATTGTGTAGTCTTCAGGAGGAAATTGAGGGTCACAGTTATCAATCAGCTTAGATAATTATAAAGTATTATGAAGGAGCCAGTAGTGATTGCAAGTGGAGAGAATAAACATTCTTCCACCAAAAAAACAATAGCAAAGTAGCTACAGGCAGCTCGTAGGCCCCACATGCCTGTCTTCAACAAACGGTGGATACTGTCTAGAATAATGAGTTAGTCGATCATATTGAAATCGTATCGAGAGAGACTAAAAAAATAAAGGCTAAAATCGGCAAAACAAGATGCATATACGTACTTCAGGGGGTGTGTAGACTTCTAGGACATATCCAGCTGACGTGCGCATGAGTAGGAGACGAGATCTCGCCCACTGGGGATTGTCCTGCAGCATCAAGAGGCCGGGGACAGAAAAAGCGGAGGAGGTAGAGGAGGCAGAAGGAGGCGGAGGAGTGCAGACGCCACCGCCCCCACCGCCGCCGACCCCGCCACCAACACCAGCACCACCACTGCCTCCCAGTCCACCAGGACCCAGCCACTCAGTGAGCACTCCCTCAAGAACACATTCACCAAGGAGAAGGATGTTAGCGCCCGGAGGACGACACTGTTTGCTGGCTTTGGCTTGGTGGTAAGCGATTATGCTGGGAAGGAAAGAGGGAGACAGGGAACCAGGAGGGGAGCGGTCAACCTTTTTCACTGGACTTGTGGTACAAAAAAAGCAGAGCAAATTCCGCGAAGACAAACGTAAACGTCTTTCAAAGCACCAGAGACTCAAGGAGTTCGCAGTCATAGGATATTCGCCTTTGGATCAGGATAATGTGAAAAGGCTACATCGATGCTGACTCAAAAACAGAGTAATTTAGGTATTCAAATATTTCAACTTAAAAATCAGTACTTGACTACAAACATGAGGACTAAACCGACCTTCTGCCACTCCAGTCTTGACTCCAAAGTAAAAACTGTTTTATGCGGTTTCCAAATCTCACGAGTCGGAGGGAGAAGGGACAAGTCTATTCACCCATGATCCTAATGCCTGAAAAGTATAAAAACTGCTTTCCAGGACCTCCAAATTTCAATCACCTCATAATATCATCCTGAAGAAGCGGTTTAGCACAAGAAGCAGCCACAGTCGCAGTGGCAGACGCCGGTGATGCCCTTCTTCTCCACAGCAACACAAAGGAGCGTCGAAGCCATGAACCCGGTCGCCAACGCCCTTCTGCCTTTTGACTGTGGTGGTCGTGATGGTGCAAAGAGACGGGTGGACCGGAAGCAGAGGAGGTAGCAGGAAGGGGCGCGGTAGCGGAGGTAGCCTTAGCAGCAGACCGCTGAGCTGCTGCAGCTGCCAGTGCTGCCGCAACAACGGTGCTAGCGTTGACGTAGGAAGAGGCGGGGACGTGGTGATGGCCTCCGCCCCTGCCTCCGCCACCACCAAGGGTGGAATCACCAATGAGGGAGAGGGAAGACGATGCCGCAAGGGAGGACTCCTTCTCCTCCGTGGTGCAGGCACCCTCCTCCGACCCAGCTGGATCAAAGTCCCCCGCCTCGTCAGCTTTGGATTGCTGCTTCTTGCGAAGCGAATCTACGGCAGGTTGAAAAGAACATCAAAAAGTAGGGGAAGGCGCCAACCTATTGAAATGAAACCATGTTTATAGCTGCACCAACTTGGAGAGCGTTAAACACTCCTCAAGTTTCTTTCTGTTCTTTTAATGACTCCTCTATTTGCAACTCTCACACTGAACGTGAGAAATCAGAACCTGCAAAAGAGAACATTGACTGTCCAAAATGGGATTCACAAGTAGATTGCGGAGGAAGGAATCAAGCAGTAAGGAACCTTTTATGCTGCCAAAAAGTACGCCGATTACAAGCGACTTCAGAAATGGAGATAGCAAAGAGTAAAAGGTGGACTACAGATTCAACAGCAGCAGTGTTACGAACAAATGTAGTGATGTTGTAAAGGGGACTTTATTTCCTATGCAGGAATCATTTTGAGGTAGACGTCAAATTTTGTTAGTTGGAATACTCTCTATTTCCCCACCGGAAATGTCGACTGAACAACGCTAAAAAGCCAGAGAAATCATTCAAAATACATGTGGATTAGTGTGATGTAAAGTGAATGAGAGGTAATTAGTTCGCCTGGTTATTCCAATTTGAATCTCATTGAAGCTGTAAAGAGCAGAGATGGTAAAAAACGGCAAGGGGGATTTTAAAAGCCATTAGTATCAACACTGTCATTTCAAAAGTGGATGCTTTCATTACGGACTTAAGGTATTGAGATCCACGTAAAATAAAGAACCATAAATGAAATTATCCGAGTGAATACGAAAGGGCTTCACAGCCTGGTAAACCGCTCCAACAGCACAGAATAACGAATTTTCTTAAGGTGAGCATCCGATCCTGTTAGCCATGAAAAATGAATACCTGCTGAGCAACAGGAGCGTATCAAAAAGTCAAGAAATATCAAGGCAAAGGTATTACAAGGCCAAGCATTTTAGTGAATTTGAAAGCCACCCCTAGTTCTATTAATACTGCTTCAACTTCAGTTCTCACTTCATGTGTAGAGCACTATCCCAGGCGACCGTCGTTTCGCCACTTAAAAAGGTATTAAACAAGCAACTGAGGAAGGTGTCGAACAGCAAGAAAGCGTTCACCTATTGGGTTGTGAGACCTCAGGTCTAATAATGACAATGTCACGGATAGGTACCCACGAGATTCCAAAATCGGCCCCACATCCGTTGTGGCTGACCTAACATCCGTTCTCAAGCCGGGAAAAGGTAGTGAGAAAGTCTGGAAAGGAGCCTCAAATACTGCTAGTCATGAGTCAGTCACAAAGAGACTTCAAATAGGAAGTGTTTGAACCGTTAAAATTAGGCTAAATTGAGTTGGACACAAGTTGGCGATTCCGGAAGTTAGGTCAAATGGGGAATGGTCTTGAGGCAAAACTCAATCCCTATTCGAGACAAAAAAGAAACTATTGGCAGAGCGACAGAGACGAGCTCCGAGGGAGAGTGAATGGGGCGAGGACGAGGGAGAGACCAAAGCGGAGAGCCACTGCCACCATTGCACGGAAGTTCACGCGACGTTGCGTGCCCGTCCGCCCACCTGCGTACGTACGTGTATGAGTCAAGTCGTGAGGTGAGTAATGGTAATAGGTGACGGAGGGAGAGAAAGCCTACTAACGGGAACGGCGAAGCCCGTCAACCTCAAGTCACGGTGACCAAAAGATTGACCTAAACAACACGTAAGACTCTATAGTTTTTAAGCCCATCATCTACCCAGAAGTGCTGTCGATTTCCCTATCCCTAAAGCACATCTTAAAGCCGGGCAAATAAATAGCAGGCGAATTGTATTGGCAGAGCATTACCGCGAACAAGAGGGGATGATTTGTAACATTCCATCCTTTTCCAAATAAATTAATGGATATGACATTTCTTTCAGATCTAAGTAACTCTTCTAAAATTCACCATTTACACTGCAGATGACGTTTCAACACTTTCCGGTACAATTGGTTGACAATTTCGCCCTCTAAACCGCAATGATCGCCTTGCGCAGAATAAAACGATTTAATAAATAGTAACTGCCGATTTTTCGCTTCTTTGACAACTGGCTGGGTAGGCTGCCGATTGCATCAAGCATCTGTAATTGGAAAGTTGTTTTCTTGCCCAGGGGTAAGAGTGAGCAGTTGCTAAATTTAGTAGCACTAATGCTACCACCAACCGACCGGCCAACCAACAAACTAACCAAGTGACTCATTCCACTGGGCTAGGCAGTTGAAGACGACCTTGCGCGAAAAAAATACGCACATACATACACACATACACGAGATAAGGAAATGGTGACCAGGCCAGTGGAACGAAATAGCTGAGACGGTTGCCTTCTTATCTCAATTGGCAAACAGAATTTGTAGCAGAGGGACTGTTAGCTAGTTCCAGAAGTGGGTACTTCATCGACAAGAAACGTGGAACATTGGGAAAGGCAGCAATTGGGTATTCAGTCTCTGAAATCCATAGGTCAAATCAAGGAGGTGGATAAGATAGGCATCTCACTTGCCCCACTGCTACGGTAAGTGGCAAATCGGAATTGCTCACATGTGATTGCCACGAGGGAAGTTGGCGACCATGAAAATGGGGTCTCCAGGAGGGCACGACCCATCGACATCAACAATAAGAAGAGCCAAAACTAATATCTCTTCACCATGCAGAGTGTCACTGAGAAACTTGGACGATGAAACATGCGAGGTAACCAAGGAAATGGCAGCAACGAAATTTAGAGGAAATACAGCTAATAGTTTACCCACTTATTACAATGGCAAAAAGTCTCAAAATCAAAAAAAAAGCTATAAGAGAGCAAGCAAAAGTATTACGCATCACTCAACTTTTGAACGAGTGCATTAGTAGTAATTTGCAACAGTTCCCAGGACAATCGTACATAGATGGCTAGTTAATACCGCACCAATTACAGTCTTAACAATCTAAGTTTCTTGCAATCCATAAAATAAGAACTGGTTTTAAACCAGAGAAAGTAAACAGTGCGAGATGATGAACGAAAATGATATACTGAATTTTGCAAGAAATGAGCACATCAGAAAGCCGTAATACATTCAAGACGGTTAACCAAATCAAATACGAGACGGTGCACACCTCCACAGTCCAAATGTATTGAAGACAATATGCAGGTGACAAAATTTCCACAAATGAAGAGAACTCTTAGATGTGGAATATCAGTCAAAGCTGGAATAGCAAGAGCGAACAGCAATAACTGTTCTAGGAATTAGCGATATGTAATTTGCTAAAAATGAAAAGTTCCTATAATAGGCACAAAAAAGAAAACCAGAATAGGAAGATGAAATTAAGCACTTGTCAAAATAAATAGGGAAATACACATTAAAAATAACTGGGAGCTAGAATTCAGTAGGTACGCATACTAGGGTTTAGACCAACCTTTAGACATATAAAATTTGGTGCAGTCTTCTTTTGAGATGAAATATCTTTGGGATAAGGCGAGTTCAAACTTTTTCCGAATGCCCAAGCAAATGTTGTCTAGAAATTCCCGTCCGCAACCGGGTTGGTCATCCTGACGATTATCATTGAGGTGGGCCTTGAACAGCTGAAGAGCCTCTATCGCCAATCGGTTGCTGGTGTTTTGGCAGAATCGATTCCAACTTTCGTGGCGCATCGTCATCGGAGCTACATTTGACGGGACGATCTTCGCCGGATTCGTGGGCTACAATACAACATTTCATATAAAATGGACTCTAAGCCAATGAGATTTCAGCAAGACTTTGAACAAATGAGCATCGCAATCGCTTTGTCGGAATCTAGGTCTCGTACTTTCAAACTTCTAAAAGTAATTTTGGCCTGCACTTCCAAAAGCTTTAAACGAAAAATAAAATGTTTCTAAAGAAAACACCTAAAAAAAGCTTCGAGCAGGTAGTTGTGTTAGACGGAAAAACAATTTAGTTAACAATGGCCTATTTTTGTCAGAGCCGAAAATTCCAAACTAAGCCAAGTGCAAATGCTTCATTTTGTCAAATCGTGACCAGTTTGGACTTTCAGTGCATTTAAGGGTTATTTAGAGCCAGATTTGTCACTTCGTGCGTCCAAGAAATATGGTTAAAATAACCCTAAAATTCTATATGGCGGCACGAAGTAATGCAGACCGACACAGCCGTATTCCCCCTTTTTGGCCTAAAACTTTCATATTTACCTATGGACGTTGTACATTAGATTTTAGGGCCTTGATTGAAGCCATAATGGCCCATGCCACTGAGAAGGACTTAGTTTTAGCAAATGGTAGTTTTAGAAAAGGTTGCAAAAGTTTTTAATTAGCTTACCAAACTCTGCGCCTGATTTTAGAGGCACTTAATTTTTGGTCAGCTGTATGGTCATCGGCGGCGTAACCTTCGGATTGTGCGAGTAGCCTTAGCTATGCCGTACGTCAGTAATGCATATTCTGCCTTAGTTCTGGTGCTTTTAACGACCTCAAAATGATCAAAAAACGCAACAACAAAGCTTTATAATGTTCATATAGAAGACTAAGAACTCAAATCAACGGAAATTGAAAAGTTTCTGCTATATGACATGGACCTCCTGCAACGTCTAAGGAGCCACCATTCTTCTGCTTTAATTCTAGTTCTTATTTTGCACCCTAAATGCTTCTTGTCAATCTAAAGTAGACTCAAAAACTATAGTAAGCTAACATGAAATTAGAATAAAATCATGCGGAATTTTTTGATTACTTACTTGGTCTGAACGTCGCAGGAAAAATTCATCCTCTGTAAATGACGGATTTTGCACCGACTTCGAAGTGATTCATTATTAGAGTTAAGCCCAGTATCCAATGCAACCATCCCATTTTTGCATCCCGCAAGAGAAATTTAACAATCAGGGTGACACCAGCATTAGAACGATATGAAAACTTTTATCATGGAGTAGTCAACGCTGCTTGCATGAAGACACCTTAGTTACTTGAGCAAAAGTAATCTCATTTGCGTATTTGCAGTCAAACAAAATCCAGATAGATTATAAATGGCCACTCAGCTAAAATGGAATACGATAGTGGTTTATCCCTTGGTTGTAATACGATAGTGGTTTATCCCTCGGTTCTGGTGAGGCGCCACTTTTGTACTTCGAATTAGGCCCCTTGTACCTCGCTGGGTGGGCTGGCCTTTTGGGCCATGCCAATAGCCCAGACACCTTCTCCGTGCTGAATATATATATTCTGCCCGAGTATTTTGTTTTCTTTCGTGTTCAGGGAGCCCGGGACGCTACAAAAAAGTGTCAAAGCGCAATTGATGGTGAATATTTGTTTGCTTAAAAAAAAGCAGCTTGGTGTAATATGCCTAAAAGCATAGCTTTTTGAATCTGTCTACAGGCTCACAGTACTGTTGATGGGTCTTATAACAGTATCAGGGAGAGCTTAGGAGCTGTATTATTGTTTAGAAGAAATTATTAGTTTTTTGACGTAAAGCTTTAATTAAATGGGCCAATCAACTGCGCCGTAACTAAACCTTAGCCGAGAAGCCGACATCCGACCCACCTGTCAAACGATGGACTTTCTATTTTATTCCTTATTCTTGAGCTTCAGCCAGTAAAAAAAAAATAATTCCAAAGCAGGCTTAATAACGTACAAAAGATAATAATAAGGGATAACAAAGGCTGTTAAATTATGAAGCAGTATCAGCAGTTAGACGTCGGTCACGGACTACTTTTTGCAAGAAGGGGCACTTCAAAGCCAAATCTACTAAATTTTGTGCAAAAAATTATGATGTTTGCTACTTTAAACCTTTAAGTTGCCAGATATTAGGCTTGTAACTAAATTAGATGCATTCAAGGTTATGTTTGTTTTATTCCACCATGAACTGTAATCGTAAACCACACTACTCTTTCGAACAGCTATCGATGTAAAATATTATGGTTTTAGTTTTCGGAGAAATATAAATGACCGAACGATCCACCTGGATCCCCTTTGCACGTGCTACAGCTCTTGGCTGGGTTCCCCTAACAACAACACCACTTCCTCAACTGAACTTAGAGCACGATGTTCCTCCGAGCAACGAACTGCTCCACCTAAACATTAGTGGTGTGCGATTTGATGTCTACAGAAGCACACTTGAAAAATTTCCCGACACGTTATTAGGATCGAACGAAAAGGATTACTATTATAACGAGGAAACACAAGAATATTTTTTCGATCGTGATCCAGATATTTTTCGTCACATCTTAAATTACTATCGCACCGGTCTCCTTCACTATCCGAAAAATGAATGCGTATCTGCATATGATGAGGAGCTTTCTTACTTTGGAATTCTGCCGGACATAATGGGTGACTGTTGTTATGAAGAATATCGCGACAGAAAGAGGGATATTAGTGAACGCTTAATGGATGATAGGGAGGATGAAAACACTATTCTCACACCTTGCAAGACCTTTCGGGAAAAACTTTGGAGGATTTTCGAAAATCCTCAATATTCCACCTCAGCTCTTGTTGTATACTACGTATGCGGATTTTTCATCGCGGTTTCAGTCACAGCAAATATAATCGAAACCATTTCTTGTGGTTTTAACCCTAAAACCGGGCGGTATCCTTCGTGTGGTGAAAGATATAGTCAAGGTTTTTTTTGCCTTGATACAGCCTGTGTTTTAATATTTACAATAGAATATTTGGCTCGATTATACGCTGCTCCGGATAGACTCAAATTTGTACGATCAGTGATGGCGTTAATAGATGTCATCGCCATTTTTCCCTACTACGTTGGACTGGGATTACCAGAGAACAAAAACCTTTCTGGGGCTTTCGTAACACTACGGGTGTTTCGAGTTTTTCGGATATTCAAATTTTCACGCCACAGTCAGGGCCTCCGTATATTGGGATACACGCTAAAATCCTGCGCGTCTGAACTCGGGTTTCTGCTCTTCAGTCTCGCAATGGCTCTGATTATCTTTGCAACTGTGATTTATTACCTCGAGAAAACGGATGTTGACACCCGTTTTACAAGTATTCCGGCAGCATTCTGGTACATTATTGTCACAATGACAACCCTGGGGTGAGTGGTATTATTTTAATTCAGTTCGATAAAGTCCAAATTATCCAGTGTTACATTAAACTTCATATTTTAATATGGGTTTTACTTGTTTAATGTACTACTGACAGAAATGGTTTATAATTATATGGACTTTTCAAAATTGAATCAGAAGTAGAAGAATAAATTTTAGAGGATTGAAGGTTTATCAGAAATCCTCGTCTTACCATATCATGATTGAAATAAGTTGCCTTAAGGAGCAAAACCCGATAATGGCACCTTTAGCTTCAGTTAAATGAATTTTATGCTTTGGAAAAATTAATGGGTTTGTAAGCAACACCTCCAAAATAGGGCAATTACGAGACCACTTTGTTTTAGACTTACCAATTTGTGTAAAAATGACTTAAAATTTAGGAAAGTAACATAATTGTCACCTTTTTAATCCTTTATCTGAGTGGATGGTTACTAAGAGCATTGGTCTCCAAGGCGACCGAATCCCCTTTTTTATACCTCAGTTCAGAATTTCCGGAATCCGAACTTTTTCTCACGTAAATGTGAGAAGGTATATTCAATCAACACGTCATGCAAGGGAGGGAGAGGATTAGGGAAATCCGAAAACTATGAAACAGTCACTAGCAACTGATACGCCTCCGTCAGCTAAAAATAGCCCCAATGGGAAGAAGTGAATGCTGCTGCCTTTTTACACTGGGTTAATTATTTATCAAATTAGACTATAAGGCTTGCAGTTGTCTAGTTATCTTCGGTAAAGTCATAGTAGCGAGAAAGTCCTAAAGCGATTGAAAAAAATGGATGTAAAGCACCTTTTGAAGGTGCTAATATCTGGATGCCTTAAATCCACAAGAAAATGAATGCATGCTGCATAACAAACGTCGTAGAACACTTCCGGATCGTACAATGCATGACAAATTGGCACTGATATTTTGCAGCAAACTTCAACGACAGTCATGTCCAAATTTTGACGTGAAAAGCAGTCGCGTTAATTTGGCGATACATGATCTGCAACAAATCGCATCCATCCCTACCCAAAGCACACTTTTTGCAAATGTTAGGGATAAATCACAAGGAAATATTTAGATTTGACTGAAATGCATTTGACGACTTTAATTAATTGCATTTATAGGTTTAAAAATGTTGTTTCAATAAATCTTTTGGTCTCTTTTCAGTGTAGAACCGTAAACATTCTTGTCAAACAAATGACATGAATTAACGAGAATCAGTGATGAACGAATTTAATAAAATAATAACAGTTTATGACCCCTGCTGTGATAAAGGTATGCTAGTTTAGAGCTAGGCAATAATTTAGTGCCAACCAAGAATGAAAACGACAGTTCCCGATGAGTAACTTATCCACCTCAAAGATAAATTAAAACAGACTCCAGCGTTCGGCATGTCTACATTTGATCTAAGTTGACAAATTTCAGCAGAATATTCCGCCTATTTCAGTATTTTTTCTGCTTGCAAAAACTTACTTCACATGTGAGATTTTCTCCCCGGCATTTAAAAACATGTAATTTATGAAGCAGCGCAATTGCCTACCATTTGCTTCAAATGTTCGGTAATATGTGTGTGTCAGTGTTTGTTTCCCTCTTGGGTTGCGCAATTAGCCAAATCAGCGCAGAAGAGGGCTCAGTATTGGCTTGCATGCCGTCTGGGCGACGACTAAAGGTGTATTTCAGACGCCATGACACCAAGATGGCGAACGCACCGAGGGCGCTGAAGATCCCACTTATTTGATCAGACATCTGGGGTCGCCTAACACGTCCATATTTTGGAGTCACTCATACGCGCCGTCTAATTTTCCTTGCCTGAACCCGCGTCACAGATTCGCGACACGCGTTTTCCACCTGCTTGTGCTGACTGGTTTCGTCGCCACAGAGGATTGAGTTTAAAAGAGGAAGTAGACAGATGAGGAGGAGGGTAGTCGCATTTCTTAAACATCTTTTGTGAGGCTGTGAAGTTTCAAAGTTCGGTATTTTTAGGGGTTGTTACCAATTCCATTATGGTCGGCTCTTGCTTGACGCTTTGTGAGCGAGCAGATTGCTACTAGCTGCTTCTCCTCTCCGATCTAAACAAACTCTGAAATGAATTTTAAAGTCGCCTGTACTTTAAGGATTTTCCTATTTTAATTCGGATGAACAAAAGTACTGTTTCTCCGAAAAAAAGGAGCAATGTTAGGCAAATATGAAAAATAAATTAGATTCCCCTTGCATACACAACATCTGGCATTAGAAAGACAGGGCTTTAGGTGCACTTGCTCTAGACTTTTCTCTCCTTACATAACTTGAGATGGGGTCAAAAAAAGCTGAGGAAATAACAAAGTATGTATCAAAACTATCATCACTACTGCCTTTGACAGCGAAAAGTCCTTGCCACCTCCACTCCTACTCCTCTTTTACCTTTCAACTGTTCATTCTCTGTCAAATGCAATTGTCTAATGGCAGTACCGAGAAAACGTAATGACCATTAATGGGACGGATAGTGCTGGGAAAATGTGGTGGAGAAGAATGAGGCGAGACGACTCCCTCCTTCTGTCTCATCCTCAGGTGAGATGGGATATCCAGCGATATGCATTTCCTTGCAAGTATGGGTCTTCATTCCCTCCTCCCCTCCGAGTTGAGGGGGTCTTCCTTAGGTGGATAAACCTTAGTGAACAGGCATGTCTGGAGTACACCATACCCTCAGGAATAAAGGGATATAAATCCTAGAAGTGTAGGGTGGGGAATGAGTGTGTCGTTAAGAGATAACAACAAATATATGTCAGTCAGATTATAACCTAATAATGTATAGCACGTCAGGGATAACCATTTCCCCAGGCTTATCTCATCACTCGTCCTAGGTGGTCTTCCCTAGTGCAAGGCATTACCATCACGTGATGATTTTAGTACCGGAAACAAATTTTTTCTGGGTGGCTCATTCTTCCATTGCATACCTCTCATTCTAATGCTTTGAATTAAAGTTAATAAGACCTTAGCTTCTGTTTCATCTCCGGAACAGCTTTAAAGGTGGCTTGTAAGTCATGCAGACTCAGACCTCGTTTGTTCATTTCTGTCTTCACTAAATAATTTAAGCGCACAGAGTAGGAAAAAAATAGCAGGAAGTACAACAAAGTGTGCCTTGTTGATGGACTGACTCACAGCTGTTTCTAATGTCTGCTATTGGACCACCCAAAATACATGCAAACAAAGTTTAGTGAAACTTGTGCTAAATATGGCGCGTCATTTTGCCTCAAGCCATGAAGCATCCGGATGTTGGAATGGGAGCAGTTAATCGACATGCCTAAATGCAGGATTTTGAGCTTTGGTGGTTGAAAATGGCTTTCAGTAATGTTGTTTAGTAATTTATTATTAAACAAAAATATGGATTTTTGATTGGTTTGAAGCAGCCTATGAGATCAAAGAAATCGAACCAATTACGAGTGGTGCAAAATCTACCTTTTTTCGATTGGTAGAATTCGCAAGTTAGAACTAAATTGGAACATATTTTACAACTTATTTCATTTATCCTTAGACAAAATTTGCCTACAGGATTCTGAAAGATGGAACTCGAAAAGGGTCTTAAATAGCGCTTTTTAACAATTTATAATTGTGGTGGAATACGGAAGACAGTATAGATTTCTAATTGGTTTAAAGTAGCCTATAAGGTTGTAGAAATCAGACCAATAACAGGGTGAACAAAGTCTGCCTCTTCTCGATCGGTCAAATCAGCAATTTAAAAAGTGCAATAAAATTTATTTCACCACATCTAGAAATGTTTACGTTGTACGAAACATAAAATAACCTACAACTCAACTGTATAACTAAATTAAGCTAATCTTTCATTGTCGTAAGCCTCAAATTTTCGACCATAAATGAAAATGGAATTATTTTTTGTGCTTAAAAATGCGTTTTCAAAAAAACATATGTATTTTTGTCCCAATTATATATACAACTCGTTTGGAATGAAAAACAGGCATTTAAGCAGATTTGAGCAAGTACGAAATCGGAAAATTCGCAAAAAAATTTTAATGGAGTATTTTATGCGATATTTTTGGATTTCTACAACTCAAAAGAATTGACATTTAGTTGAAAACTTCCACTTAATGTGTGAGATTTTTCGACTGTGTCTGAGTGGAAATGCCTAAAGACTTCGTAGTCTCTAATCCCACCTTCAAAGTTTCTGTTCGCATTAAGCGACTTTCAGGGCTGGAGGTGGAGGGGTGAGGGGCTGGGTGTAGGAAAACTACCTCTTGGATGTATTTCTCAAACCGCCAAGTCGCAAGGCGCCTACAAATTGCACATCTGAGATCTTGAGGGAAAGTTCCAATGTTTGGAAAAAGAGAGGCAAAGACTATTTTACCTATGGATTCGAGACTGCCGTCACCGACGTCTACGGTATACAAGAAAGTAAAAAATTCGAGCAATATTATGGCTAAATACAGTATGTAGGACTCAAGAGAATGTGGACCACAAAGTTCATAGTGCAGGTCTTTAAATCATGATGTGAGCATTTTATTAGAGGACTTATTTTTAGAGGTCTTCATTCCATTGAAACTTGGAGCCGACGGGAGGAAATATTTTAAGATTTGATGAGAAATTTAGCGTGAGCAATAATTTTAAATCACCCTCTGACGATAGTAGCACCGTGGAAGGAGTTAAATATCTTATTTCCTAGGAGATATTCAAAAGATTAAAACCAACAACTCGAATTCTTTAGCAGATTTTCCACGTTTTGTTCTTTATTAATTCAGTTTGTTGATTGTCTAGCTTAAAAGTGAAGCAAGTATGTGCTTTGATAAGTAGGTCTTTCTTTGGGTTATACAATCGCTTATCCATTCAAACACGCCTCTTAAATGAAAGAAAATTCAGGTTATCCTCAAGTAGCTTATTCATTACGTTTTACTGCTTACCTTGAGTGTCTTTTCTGTGTTTAGCTTATCTGTTCAATCTCATCAAATCTAAATCCAGTAAACGAGTTTAGGTGAACGAATGTCGGACACCTCTCGTTCTCTGGAACAGCCTTGTAACGGCT